TGTGTACAATCTTAGAAGAGTATTGATGAGAATCCACGTCTGGACAGAAATATCCATCAAGATCAGAGATAATGCAACATCACATATGCAAGTAGAAGCATCACCAAAACCTGGGCTTCACATTAAAGTTGAGCATCGATGGATATTGATGGAATAAAAACAACCACAAAAAATACCAGAGAAAAACTCTGTAATGAAAGGGAATTGTTTTTATTGAATTTAATTCATTACTAAAAGTCCAATTTACAGTGTGGTTTCCCTTGTTTCCAACTATTGTCAACCAATACTTCACCATGCTTTAAAATATCACCACACGCTTGTCTGGAGAAATCACACTGAATTTGTGTCTGAAATGTGTACAATGTTCCCTGGGAAATACAAATTTCTATCCAAAATTAGTGCCAAGACAGTTACCAGATGGAGGGGGTTGGATGGGGTTGGATCCTATCTAATAAAATATTGCTTGGAGAATCAAATGGAGCAATCTCCACCAATTTAACCTCAAAGGCTCAATACCACGTGATCTAAGTAAGGTTACCCCCGAATAGTAACATTTTAAAAACACCTATATCCCACACCCCAACACCCTCCCCATTGCCCCCCCCCCCCCCCCGAGCCTCCCCCACAAAATACAATAAATAAAAATCCCACTTTCTGAGCGCAGCACGGTCTTCTTGCTTAAGCAAGCCTAACAATGTTGGTAGCAAAGTGGATGACAATGACGAAGTCTATGTTAAGTCCTACTGAGTTTGTGAGTAGTGTATACATGATTTATGTTCCCACAAGTGTCCATATAAACTTATGTCATGCTGAACCATGCAACATTTGAGTTAAATGTTCTTGTTTGTCATCCCATCATCCCATCTAACTTGCAAACAAGAAACCATATTGAGAGCAAAATTATATGAGATCCTAGTACATATTTAAAAATTAAAGCAAAATATTTTGCAGCCAAAGTGTAAGTCTTGCCATTTGGTTGTGACAATATAAAATTACTCATTTTTTGCAAGTTTTGCCATTTGGTTGTCACAATATAAATTTAATCCTCATTTTCTGTCATGTTACATTGTTTATTTTTTCCTAACTCTACGCATGCATTCATATTATATATAAATTCCTCATGTATGAGTGCAAAAGTCTTTTTCTGGCTCTGGAACAAAGGTCATAAACTTGATATGTATATTTGTATCATAGTAATCATGCTTAAGTCATAACTCATGACATTCCAGCAGTCGGTTGCCGTAAGTTTTCTTAAAATTTGTTTTCTGAAAACACAATTTATTTACATTAAAACATGAAAGGTAATTTCTAAGAAGATATAGGACTTGTTTTATGCTCTAACGAATTCTCCAAAATATTTTTTGAAAAGCAACCAGCAAAATTTTTGATGTAATTCATTTGTTTTCAGATTATGTGAACCAACTTGTACGTTCAAACCAAAGAACCATAAAGCGATGTAAAACATATGAGACGGCTATTGGCTATATACAGACACAATATAACGCCAGATGTTTTTAATGTAGTAAGCCAAAAAGGTCCTGGGCATAAATATGATTTTAGGCATGGACATGAAGTCAAAAATTGTGTTTAAGTGTGATCCATATACACTACAAAGTATTTATATATTTTATTGGAATATTTAATAAATCAGGCTGCATATTAGCTGGAATATATGTGCATAACGAAGAACCAAGGGAATGAAAGAGAACTTAAATTACCAAGCATAATGATGATCCAGCTGAAATAAACAAATAGTATGAGAATAGCAAAGGAAATTGAAATTTACCTCCAGCGAGCTCATGGTTTAAGGATGAAAAAAAATCATCTAACTCCAAGCATTCTGTCAAAAATAAGATAGAATATATCTGATTCTACACTTTGGCAAAAGCCTTTGTTGCAGAAGCCCCTAATCAATGAATCAAACATAAAACCATCTAGTACAAAACCTCGTCTCAAAATTTCTTCAAATAACCTTAGGATTTCCCTGCGCTTATCATCCTTAACCAACCACCTTATAGGGCGTACAATCAAGTTTGGGTGTAAATTATTTCTGATAGATTCGAGAAAACAATTTACCGCCTCTAGGTACTTGTGTTCTCGACAAAGACTATCAATCATGATGCTGTACGTAAATTCGTTTGGGGTAACATTACCCCTACCCATATCCAAAAATAATTGATGCACTTCACCAAACTCACTTGCCGCCTTAAAACCCAAAAGCAGAGTGTTAAATGCCACAACGTCAGCTTGAAAACCCATGCTGTAAAAAACAAATTTTGCTTTACCAAGCGACCTTTTCCTACAAAGGCTATGAATTACAATAGTAAATGTATGAAGAGTCTCGATTCCCCTCTTCAACATAGAGGCCAAAAGCTCATTAACAGCTCTCCACTGACCAATTTGACAAAGTCTACTCATCAACGTATTATAAAAGAACACATCCACATCCCAATGCAAAATATCCTCCGCCTTCTGCAGACTCTTATATCTCAAATTCCGACACGAGCAATCAAAAAGTATATGCAATGTCTCCATCGTTTCGCACAAACCACGTCTCCTCATAACACTCAACAGCCTAAAAGCCTTATCAGCCTCCCCGGCCTTACAGAGTGCACTCATATAAACATTATATGTAACTTCATCCGGACTCCAACCCTTTAACTCACTCTCGCCCAACATCCTACCCACCTCATCAAACTCTCCTCTTTCACAAAGAGCACCAATCAAGATCGTATATGTAACAGCATCAGGTGAACACCCAGAGAGCCTCATCCTATCAACCAAATCCTTAGCTTCATCGACCCTTCCATGAATGCAGTACCCACGAACAATAGAAGTAAAACATCGAACAGTTGGCGGGCAGTTTTCCTCAAACATTCTATCCACAATCCCCAAAGCCTCTTTGATCCTGCCAGCCCAACAGAGCCCAGAAATCAATGTCAAATACGTTATTTCATCCAGGAAACAACCCAATTTAACCATAGCGCCGATAACAGCATAGGGCGACATGGAGTGGTTGTCGTTTGCGAGTAAAAATTGGATCTTTAAGAGAATCGAATAGGATTGATTAGTAAATGGTATAAAATCAGAACGTTTCAAAATGGACATAGCTTGCTGAGCCTCGGGCCGGCATTTTGCGGCGACCAAAGCATTGATAAAGGGGTTGAAGAAAGATGCGGCAGAAGAGAGAGTTAGGGCTTCAGAGTCGGCGAGGTCGAGAGGGGAATCGCCGGAGATCCGGCGGTGATAGAGGGTTCTTCGAGTCTTGGGAATGCCGGTGCCGGGCGGCGGAGGACGGCGCGGGGCGGCGGAGAGGAGATTGGAGAGGAGATCGTCGGTGGAGACGTTTGCTAGGGTTTTGCGAAGGTGGCGAGCTCGAGGATAGGGCATGGAGAGAGGAGACAGGGTTAGGGTTTAGGGTTTATGAAGGCGGCTGAAGAGACGACTCCATTCAATATTTGCCACCGGCGATTGGTTTCAAATTATAAATACGGTTGAGAAAATTTACAGACATAGGCATAGCCAGGACGTTATTGTGAGGGTAAATTTACGAAACCCCCTAAATATTAGTTAATTATTATATAACCCTCAAAGCTTTATAGGTGTTACCTCCTCATTTGAGTTTGGGGCTCATAACAAAACTTCCCAGATGTTTTCGGCTTTGTTAACACTAGTATTTAGACCCGTGCAAAGCACGGTTTCTAAAAGATTTTCTGCAAATATTGAATATGTTATCAAAATAAAGTATTCTGCTTTAGATATAAAGTATAGGGGGTGCTATTTGCTTTTTTTTTTTTATTTGTTCAGATATTTGATCAAGTTTGATTCATAGTTCATTTAGTACTAAACAAATAATGTAATAATCAAAATTTTTTTCTTAATATATACAAGGTCTTATATGGTAAGCCCACGTGATATGGATTGAAAAAAAGAGAGAAGAAAACAAATCAAATTTCTTAAGGCTCAGGCCCACATCATGTGGGAATTCAAAAATAATAATAATAAAACAATCAAGGCCCATTAGAGTTCACAATCTAGCAAGAGCCCATGAGTTTGTGCAGCTCCATCCTTATGCATGTGTTGTTATGATTTTTGAATGTTTGGTGAGATCATGAAAAATTATTTTCCAGATATAACGCCAACAAACTCTCCTGGCTTTAACTCCCAAAAAATAAATCCGTGGGATATTCCACAGATTTATTTGGTAACTACTCATATACCACTAATTATTTCCTTAGTTTTAGGGATTCTAAAATAAAATTTACCTTCCCTTTTATATGTCTTCTCTCCTCTTCTTCCCTAAAACCTGCAGAAAAAAAAACGGGAAAAAAAAACTCAATCAAGAACAAGAGAAGGAGAGGGACGAGATTTGGATGTTCTTTTAGGATTTGGGGTTCATAGTCTTTCTTTCGGCAAATCGGCAAGCATCTTTTTCCTTGATTATTATTATTATTTGGATTTTTCCTTCATGCAAGCATATCTTTCCTCAAATATTTTTTTCTTCATGCCAACATTTTTCCTTACATCTTAAGCCTATTTTTAGTTAAATTTTTGTTGGGTTTTTCCTTGATTTATAAACTTAGCTATTCAGTATATAATTGATAAATCATTGTAGAGGAAAAAAAAATTCGCTTAATTAGTTAGATGACATTGACTGTAAATATTTGATGGCATGAGATGTAAATAAAACAAAACTTTATAACCTGTTGTTTCCACCATTGTTTTCTTAAGCCTTCATTATACTCTTTTATACACGGTCATGCATACAGTTCTTATTCCTCATTTGTGTAATTATTATATTTAAGTTTTTGGAGGTCTTGAATCTGTAGTGTATGTATAAACCACTATATACCTGTAAATACTTGTAACAATAATTTTCAATAATATCTTTTAGATATGAACAGAGTTTCCAATCTATTATATATATATATGGTTTATGTAACAATATGTAATACAAGATGTTTTAACTATTTTAATTATTTCCATCATTTAACTATTTAATATCTGCTTGTAGTTCTTATTTCCCTTGAAAATTCTTGAGTGACATGATATACGTGATCCTAGAAATTATATTGTATTATTTTTTTTTTATATCAAATATTGTAATCTCTTGCTGTAGATATCTTCAGATTTCCAGGCCATGACTATTGTACAAATTTATATGTTTTAATTAGGAGCATCCGTGATTTTGAAATTTTGCCTTGTATTGTTAAATTATTTCCTAGCATGATTTCCTACTTAGACTTTTTACTTAACTTAAAATTATTTTTTCCGTATGTAGACCTAAATATTTAAGATATGGATCTTTGTTCTCATTTGTGAAGTATGTACTTGGGGGTTTTCCGAAGTGCAGCTAGTATGTAACTATGTCTCTAGTTATGTGGGATGAAATTTTTAGACTTGAAGAGATTGTTGGTTTTATTATATTCTCTCTACTTACCAGAGGATTAATAAGACTAATTTATTTTCATTACATAATAAACGTCTCCCTATAAATATATACTTATACAAATTAGTTTGCTATATAAAATATAAATTGTAAATGTAGCCTGCAAATCTTTTAGCATATGAGCTGTATTACCTTATGCTTTTCTTTGATCTGAAAGCGTGATACATGAAACTTTATATAATACCTTCTACTAAACTAATTTTTTTTAGAAGAATCCTCATTCGCACTAAATTGTCAATATATATAGTAACTTTGAAAGCTTTTACTTTCTAGCTAACGACATATTTGCGACAAGGAAACTTCTCGTTACTGTCAAATTTTCTTTTCTTAAGTATTATACTATTATATTAGTAAAGTACCTTATATTAAGGCTTGAATCTAAGTATAGTTAGTTTAGAAAAAAAAACTTATCTATGTAAGTATTTATTTTGGGCCAAAGTTCTGTTTAAGTATAAGATTCTTAAATTATTCAACTTTCTTATGTCAAATATTTCTAGTTATGAATATTACGCTAATAAATCGAAACTAAGCTTAGATAGCCTTTCTACATTATTCTTTTCACAAGGAACTTTAGACTTGGTGGGTTAGCTACGTATACTGAGCCATCCACGACTTTGCTCTCCCAAGCTTGATAGGCAAAAAAAAAAAAAAAAAAAAAAAAAAAAAAAAAAGAAAA